GTGAGAATAAAAAAAACATTAACTAGACCGTAATTCTACCTTTCGATCTACCACATTTTATTTGTCAGTTAATATGAGAAAAATGGTTTGTAAAACATTTGATATTAATACACTTGCTATAAAGAAGGGAGTAGTCGACATTGCTGTTACAAAGAGAAGTAAAATGAATATGGGGTCAGAGGATTTTCGAGGAAACAGTGCTAAAAAATGTACACCGCAACATATAGTCGATAATATCAGAAAACACATAGAAAGTTTTCCAGTTGTGTCAACCCACTATTGTCGGGAACGAACAACTAGAAAATATTTAGCACCACATCTGAACATCACTACAATGTATAAAATGTATATAGAATAATGTAGGGTACAAGGAAAAACTCCTGCTAAGGAATGCATGTATCGAAAGATATTCAGTAAAAACTATAATTAAGGATTTCACACTCCTAAAAAAGACCAGTGCTCCATATGTACGCACTTTTAAAATGCATCGGATGTAGACAACATACAATTAAAAGAAAAATATATGATGTGCATATTGAAGCCAAAAATAGTGCTGGGGATGAGAAAAAAAAACAGGGAGCTGGCTACAACGTCAAACAATATTATAAATTGTAATTTTGATTTACAACAATTACTGCTGGCCTGGCCCCTAGCGATAAAAAAACAATACTTTGTTGTATAAACGCAGACTGACCACATACAACTTTACCATCTACAATGTGGTGTCCAAACAGGGTGACTCGTACTTGTGGCGTCAAGCTGAAGGTGCTAGGGAAAGTTGTGAAGTAGCCAGTTGTTTATACAAATGCATAACCCTGCTTCCAGAACAGATCGAACAGGTAATTCTCTATGGCGACCGGTGTGGAGGTCAATATCTGCTTAAAAGCAGTTTAAGATATTGAACACATTAAGATCATTGATATAAAATACCTAGGGGTAGGATATTCAGAAATGGAATGTGATTCCATTCACGCTACAATAATATTGTTCTAAAGCTATTTTCTTGTGGCATTGTAAATTAATTACTATTAAACTGGGAATAAGCCACAATTAAAGATAAAAATACGTTTATTGACGTTTTAATTTCCACTTCGGAAATCGTTCTCAAAATACAAACAGTAAATTAAACAAATTTTGTTTTTTGTTACATAGTGAAAAATTCTTCCAATGATTTAATTTTATCTGACTCATTTATATTGACAATTCAGACATACATTATGCATTTTAAAGTAGACGACTTTAAAATGATATTGCCAATATTGTTGAGTTGCGCTCCTTGGACGACTTTACTTATAAGATAGTTCATTCGATTACATGAAATCAACTTTAACTTGAGAATATCCGTCAGAAAAAAATCATAGCATGTAATTCGTCTTTAAAAAGACAAACACATGACATGATGACAGTAAAATTCTCCTGTTAGTGATTATATAGTAAATTATGAGGGAAAACCAGAAAAAAACCTCATAATACTATCCCGACATTGTAAGTATTTGTTCGTGAATTTAGTTTACCTTAAACAAACATCAAAATTCTGATTTTATATGTTACGTTATTTAAAAAACATAAATGATGTATCCTCTATACATGTTACTGATTTACTAATACTGGTATTTTCTTATTAATAACTTCCTCTTTCAATATTGGTAACCAGATCCTACTACATTCTGCCGAGGAATTTGCTACACAATTGGCCTCATTTAGCATAATTAGAGCCGCTTCTTTGATTTTTCTTTTTTTACTATCCGTTTCTTTTAGGACTACATTTGAATTATTCCATTGAACCCTATGTTCATTATCCCATGCGTGTTTACAGATTTGAGATCTATCAAATTCTTTATTTTTAATATAAGATTGATGTTCACTTATTCTAACATTTAATGGCCTTGATGATTCACCTAAATAAAACTGATCGCATTCACAAGGTATTTTATAAATGCAATTCTTTGTCCTTTCTTGTTCATTGTTAGGTTTGGTTTTGGACAAAATAGATCTCAACGTGTTTGTTGTTTTGAATGTTGTTTAAATGTTGAATTTATTTCCTATCCTTTTAAGTTTTTCTGATAGTCCTTTTATGTACGGTATTGTTATTTTCCTCATATTATTCCTTGTGTATGCTGTAGGATCTCGTTCAATTCAATTCAAAATCTTATTCAACGAGATCCTACAGCATACACAAGGAATAATATAAGGAAAATAACAATACCGTACATAAAAGGACTATCAGAAAAACTTAAAAGGATAGGAAATAAATTCAACATTTCAACAACATTCAAAACAACAAACACGTTGAGATCTATTTTGTCCAAAACCAAACCTAACAATGAACAAGAAAGGACAAAGAATTGCATTTATAAAATACCTTGTGAATGCGATCAGTTTTATTTAGGAGAATCATCAATGCCATTAAATGTTAGAATAAGTGAACATCAATCTTATATTAAAAATAAATAATTTGATAGGCTCAAAATTATGCTAAATGAGGCCAATTGTGTCGCAAATTCCTCGGCAGAATGTAGTAGGATCTGGTTACCAATATTAAAAGAGGAAGTTATTAATAAGAAAATACCAGTATTAGTAAATCAGTAACACATAGAGGATACATCATTTATGTTTTTTAAATAACGTAACATATAAAATCAGAATTTTGATCTTTGTTGAAGGTAAACTAAATTCACGAACAAATACTTACAATGTCGGGATAGTATTATGAGGTTTTTTCCTGGTTTTCCCTTATAATTTACTATGGAATCACTAACAGGAGAATTTTACTGTCATCATGTCATGTGTTTGTCTTTTTAAAGACGAATTACATGCTATGATTTTTTTCTGACGGATATTCTCAAGTTAAAGTTGATTTCATGTAATTGAATGAACTATCTTATAAGTAAAGTCGTCCCAGGAGCGCAACTCAACAATATTGGCAATATCATTTTAAAGTCGTCTACTTTAAAATGCATAATGTATGTCTGAATTGTCAATATAAATGAGTCAGATAAAATTAAATCATTAGAAGAATTTTTCACTATGTAACAAAAAACAAAATTTGTTTAATTTACTGTTTGTATTTTGAGAACGATTTCCGAAGTGGAAATTGAAACATTAATAAACGTATTTTTATCTTTAATTGTGGATTATTCCCAGTTTAATAGTAATTACGCTACAATAAGTCACGAAATTAAAAGAATGGCAAACATTTCATGGCCAGAAGACTACAAAACTATAGCAAGAAATTCTAGACGAACAGGTGATAACCGTATGTTGTTCATGACATGGGCCATAATAGTTTCTTCAGCTGGAAACAGTTTACTAAAGAAACATTAGATAATAATGCGAAATAAATTTGAGGTTGACAAATCATTAAACGAGAAAAGAACTCTCTTTTTGAAAACTCCCGTTTAATTAAGCAAAAAAAAATGATGAAAATAATATTAACTGAAAAAAATTAGTTGGCTACAATTTAAAAAAAGATAGGCACAATGTAATTTTATGTAAACAAAAATTTAATGAATATTTATAAGTATTAGACTGCAGGTATAACAAACAAACGAACCAGGTATAATATTCAATCAAATGTAAAAAAGTTATGCCCTTCGAGAAAACCAATTTCCAATGCAAAATACAATGAGATAATGTCATTATTTAGATGAAACTTACCAGCAATTAGCGTAGACTATACATTTTTTCGGAAGTAAGATCGAAGCCTTCGAAATGTGGGTATATAGAAGAATTCTACGCGTGTCCTGGACAGAACATAGAACCAACCTGTCAATTCTCGAAGAGCTTCATATAAAAGACAGGCTACTAAAAAAAGTAAACCAAGCATACCTAACTTACTTCGGCCACATAGCTAGAAGAACAGGCACCATGGAACTATTGGTAGTAGAAGGAAAGGTAGAAGGCTGAAGACCAAGAGGAAGATCTCCAATACGATGGGTAGATCAAATGAAGAGTTTGGTGGGAAAATCCCTACATGAATCCGTCCCTATGGCACATGATCGCAGTCAATGGAGACAGCAGACTAACAATATTTAGGGTGTCACTACGCCCTGACAAGGGCTAAAGGATTGAGGAGGAGGATACATTTTTTATTAAGTTTGCCCCATGGAAATTGTATAGATAAAGATTATGCAAGTGGTAACGATGATGAATAGATATAGGTAGTTTTTTAGTTTCTGTCAAAATTCAATTTTTATGTGTTTCTTGTTTTATTTAGGGTTTTCATGTTACTTTGTTTGTTTTTATTTAATTTTGCTTATCGATTTATTAGTTCTATAACTGGATAACTTAACTGTGTCAATTGTAGATATCTCTTTAAAACCAAAAGTGATTTGTTACATAATCTAATTTTATTTTTTAACAAAATGTAACTACTATTTGTAAATTCTCAATATTACTCTTAATTTGATAATAAAATGTATGATTATAACATTTGACATTTTTATTTAACTGTTGTGTGAGTTTCTGTATTCCCAAAAAGGTTAGCGCATCATTTTTGTTGATTCTGTAAAATAGAATTAAGGTATCGATAGAATAATATACATTTCTCCGATAATCGAGGCTTAATACAATTTACATCATTAAATTTTTTATTCTTAAGACAATTTTTCAATAAAATTACTAGTAATAACAAAAACAACGATTAAATATGACAATTATCAAAATTAAAAATTAAGAAAGCTGGTAGGAAAAGTACAAAATCATTTACTTGAAAATGAAGAGATACCTAAAACTTAAATGTCGAATAAGTACTCAATATTTCCTAAAACACTTAAGAAGTACTATATTGACTAGAATAAAAGCTATTAATAAACTTTTATAATATATACCAGGTAGTTTTTTATATTTGGCATATTAAATTTGACTTTTTCCATTGAGGACTATGATGGCAAGAAATATCCAATTAAAATATCTGAACTTATGATACCCTGTATACCTTATATTTTAAAAATATTTAATTGAAAAAAAGACTATTGCAAAATACAAAGAAAAGTACTTACTTTTATTCGCCCAAGTGTCTTTTTCGTTACTTTGTAGTCGCTGTAAAAGAACTTTCAAATCTTGTTTACATCTGTCAGATAACACCTTTTCATTATCTAATACATCACTGATGGTCTTTTCAATAGTTCGTTCACCCAAAACTAATGAAAAAACTGTAATTACAATGAAAAATAGTTTTATGTGATCTTTCATTATTTTCACTTTAGTCGTTATCTCTTAACCAATTGTTCTGATTGGTTCTCAGGCATCCAAGTTGTGTCTGTAACTATTCACAAATATTGAACTCAATTTATTTTATTTACTGATAACAAGAAGTTGTGGGGGAAATATTAACATATGTGTGGATAGTTTTTTTTTAACTAATTATATTTCTTCAAAATTAACTATAAATGCAATAGAAATGTTATATTTGGAGTATCGATTTTCAGTTTAAAAATTTTATATACAATATAATTTTTTTTATATTTTTATATTTTTTACTTATAAATTGAATTATTAAAATAATATAATTTTATCTGATTCTATTCCTCGATCGCGTAAAGGATTAAAATACCAAAACTTCTCAATTTATTTAAAGGAATAAAAAACATAAAAATTGCCACCAGAAATGTTAAAACCATAGCACATTTATACACTAAAACTAAAGATCCTTTAACAACTGATGAAAGTTCTGGAGTAGTGTATCAAATACCTTGCTCAGACTGTGATAAAGTTTATATAGGAGAAACTTCTCGAACATTACACAGCAGAATTATTTCTCATAAAAGTGATGTAAAAACTAAGAAATCACAAGCTTGTGCATTAGCTGAACACTCCATCAATCTAAATCACACATTTAATTTTTTACAAGCTTCAATTCTAGAGAGGCAGAAACATGAACAGAAACGGTTATTTTTAGAAATGACACATATACAAAAAAAAATAAAAAATGTGTAAATAGAAGATCAGATATTGACAAATTAAGTAACATTTATTGTTACATATTAACATCAATAAATACCGTCAAGATCTCATTTTCTATTGACATCCTAACATTAAAAATTCATATGTGCTTAAGTCCAAACTGCTGACTGGATTAATTTATATTTTTTATAGACAATTAAATAAATTATAATAAAAACTATTGTTACTGGTTTTGCTTTCCACATAAAGTAACTGTATTTTCATTCATATATGTCCATTAATCAAACCATGACAATGACATATATAGTGATAAATATAGTTATTTTTAATAAAAAATTTTTTAATATATTTATAATGGTTTAATTACTATTTATAACTGGGAATAAGCCACATTAAAGATAAAAATACATTTATTGACGTTTCAATTTCCAATTCGGAAATCGTTCTCAAAATACAAATAGTAAATTAAACAAATTTTGTTTTTTGTTACATAGTGAAAAAAAATTCTTCTGCTAATTTAATTTTATCTGACTCATTTATATTGACAATTCAGACATTACATTATGCATTTTAAAGTAGACGACTTTAAAATGATATTGCCAATATTGTTGAGTTGCGCTCCTGGGACGACTTTACTTATAAGATAGTTCATTCGATTACATGAAATCAACTTTAACTTGAGAATATATTAATATTTAATAATTTAATTTACAATGCCACAAGAAAATAGCTTCAGAATTATAATGGTTTGTTTTGTAAAGTACAATAATATTAACAACTGTAATCTCACGACTAGTAAGTAAGACAATTAAACAATTAACTAGTTAATTTATATTTCTTTTTATAGATGTCTTGAAAAAGAAGAAAGCTTGACAGTAAGTCAAATAGTTTTCTTTGTCTTGTGGGCCAAATAAACTGACTGCATCCTCAAAAATCATAATTTAATATATATATATAATATATATATATATATATATATATATATATAATATATATATATATATAAATAATTAAGAACAAAGAGTTTTACTTATCCTCCCTACTTAAATGACTGCATCCTCAAAATAAAACACTTTAGTTTACATAACGTTGTCAGTCAATAATACCTAACTATATATATATATAATATATATATATATATATATATATATATATATATATATATTATATATATATATATTATATATATATATATTATATATATATATATTATATATATATATATATATATATATATATATAATATATATATATATATATATATATATATATATATATATATCCGGTATTTAGGCGGCCACACGCCGTTCCGGTACGGATCTATGGAGGAGTATCACCGAACCACAAGCCCCTTATCTCTTGCCGTACTGCTCCAGCGTAGGCCGATCACATACCAGCCTATTCTAGATTAAGCCGCAGATTTTTTTTAGAATTTTAAACTGCTGCGTTAGCCTTTTTGTTCTCTGTACACCGAGCTGGGGATTGAACTGACATCTCTCGCATTGAAGCAAGCCAGCCGCCTAGCCCACTTGGCTATCCGATTGACCTCTTGGTTTTAAATATTCCAAATATCTTTAGCATACAGGAATTCTTTTAGACAACTTCCAAACTCTACAAATATTTCCTCGATATCAAATAAATAACCTACTGGCTACTAATAATAAAAAAGTATATAATTGTCTCATAGTGCAAATGTGTGTCTGCAGTCAATCTTAGCTAAGCTCGTTAATCTTTGGTGAACAAATTTCCCCTTCGTTGGCTCAGTGAAGATGTTCGTTTAGTTGTAATGGAAACACAAAATAATAGTAGCAGAGTTTATTGACGAGACGTACACTATGGGTGTTGACCCGGGATTACTTTGAGTAGAGACAGTTGCAGTTGAGCGTTGAAGACTATCACGTTTGTTGAGTGAATATTGATTGAATGCTTCTCTAGGCAAGAGATTTTAGTTTTATATAAGTTTTAATTGGGTCAATATATTCGCGGACCTAATGACATGTGTTTAAGTTGTGTGTATATTGTTTAACTTTCGTCAGCACTTTCGACTGACGTCCAAATTTTATTGTTGATAATTGACGAAATCTAATGTAACCTAATTAACTACGTGTGTGTATTTAATAACAAATAAATTCATTCGGTCTACTGGGTGATAAAATTATACTGTCCAATTTCGGATATGAATTCTGAAGATTTGATATTGGACATTTGGTTTAACCCAATTGTTATTTACCTTTCTTTTCGTGACCTATTGCTAGTAATGTCTTAAACAAATATTCTGATGGACCCCTGGACGAGAAGTGAGCATCCCTGTTTTTTCTGATATTTGTTTTTTCTTTTTTTTTGACTCGAATAGATACACATGCAAAAGTAATTACTAGTATAGATATAACCTTTTTTATTTTCTTTAGTATAAATTATATTAGAATATTAGTATTAGTCATTTTTCATTTATTTTTTCTCAACACGTAGTTGGCTATTTACCTATGTGCTAAAGCCACAAAAAACATTTGAGATTAAACCAAAATACAAAAAGCAGAGAACCACAAAACCTTGGGATTGATAATCAGCATCATATAATTCTGATATGGCACGAATATAAAGATTTATTTAACATAAATATTAATAAAAATATGTGTATCTTAAAAATTATGTATGATTTATACGTATATTGACATTGCGAAAATATAAAGATATAATGCACTGGAAAAATAAACTTTTGATATAAAACTGTCTAAAATAATTTTAATAAAACCCTTAAATTACGATATTAGTGTATGACTGTGACATCAAGAATGCCTGCGTCTTTCGTACGGGATCTTAACTGTTTTTCACTTTGATTTGAAATTTGCATCAGGGAAACGAAACTACGGGAAAAGGGGATGATGGGGTTGGAGTCCTATTAAGTAGACACGATTTTGCTTTCAGTGCTATAGCGTATATCGGTTTGTATATGATCGGCAGAAGATACTCTGAGATCAGGTGCTTCAGAAAACATGAAGTGTAATTAGAATAACAGTTTGGGCTCACTCAAAATAATAAGATATGGACGTATTGGTAAGCTAAGCTATACGAAGGGATTCAATTTTATGTATGAATATATGAATAATTCAGAAGCATATAGAAAAGTTTTATAAAAAAGTTGAAATATAAAAATATTTTAAATTAGATTATAATATTTGCAGTGTTTTATTTTATGTTTTAAATGTTATATCTGTGTCCCTTGGTGTTTATTATAGGTTTGTTATCTGTCTTTGACATTAGTTTAGTTATGCTAAAATTCATTTTCAGTCCTTTTTTAGGAATTCTGTGTGTAGCTCCTCACTCATCGTCTTCAGTGCATTCCACCTGTCGGCTATTAGTACTACATCATCAGAGTATCTAAGATGGTTCAAGGATCTTCCGTTAAGAAGTATTCCCTTATTTTCCCAGTCTATTGAGTTAAAGATATCGTCTAGGGCAGCTGTAAATAATTTTGTAGATATTTTGTCTCCTTGTCTAACGCCCCGGTTGATTTTTACTAGTCTTGTTTCGATTCCATTACCCAACGTCACTATTTATTCCTTTTTATTTCTTTTACTGCTTCTATTTATTCGTGGCTTATTTAACATAAAAAGTGGATTTTCAATAAAATAAGTAATGAAAAAGTAGAAAAAAATATGAAGAGACAGTAAGAGTTCAAATAAAAGAGAAATATAAAGCAGAAGAATAAACACAGAATGGGAGACAATCAAAAAATCAATAGAAGAAGGTGCAAATATGCAGATAGGTAAAGTCAGGCTACAACAAAAAACGAATGGTATAACCAAGAATGTAGAGAAATAACAGGAAAAAAAGTGCAAGCCAGAAATAAATGGCTAAAAACAGATAAAGAGGAAGACAGAAAAGAATATGAAAAATTAAGAAGGAGTGCTAAGAAAGTGATAAGGCAAAATAAAAGAGAATGGGAAGACAAAAAGATGCAGGAAATAGAGCAGGAAAGAACAAACAGAAATACGAAAAGTTTTTACAAAAGATTAAAGAACAAAACAAAAAATACAAGGGTAATACAAACGGAATAAAAAATAGAGAGGGAATAGTGATAATAGAGGACCAAGAATACAAGCAAGTATGGAGAGATTACTACAGAGAGCTCTTGACGGAGGAAACAACAGAAGAAGAAATGAATAACGAGGAGGAGGTGCACGAAGAAGAAGCAGATGAAGTAGATGGAGTAGACATCGAAATTTCAAAAGAACCAACATTAGAGGAATTGGATGAAGTAATACAGAGAAGCAAAAATGGTAAAGCCCTGGTAAAGATGGAATTAATATGGAACTAATAAAATACGGGGGAAGGGAACTAAGAGAAAAAATACTGGCACTATTAAAAAATATATGGAAAGAAGAGAAAATGCAAGGGGACTGGGAGGTAGGGCAGATCATAACAGTACATAAAAAGGGAGACCAACAAATCTGTGAAAATTATAGAGGAATAACGTTACTAAATACAACATATAAAATATGACATCATACTTGAATAATTTTCAGGAGACGTTCTCGTTTCACTTAGCCTTTAGCCTAATCATTGCAATTCTTCAGATATTCGTACAAAAGGCTCTACTTTATGTGCCTATTTCTTGAAAATTAAAAATCCTACGCCATCTAGGTTTTTTACTCGCCTTTTAATATGGACGTTACCGGACTCTAGTGTTACGCACTCTTCCCCTTTTCTTTTATCTCTGCTAGACCAATTATGTCCAATTTAAGTCCTTGATGTCTAATATCAAGTTCGTAGACTTTTTCGTCTTTGCTTAAGGACCTTATATTTAGAGTTGCGATGTTAAATAGTGTGGTTTTTAGCGATTTCTTGCTTCCACAGATTCCATGAAGCTGTCCTTTTTTCCAAAGAAGTGAGTCACAATTTGCCATTGTTGCCATTGTTACAGTTTCCAGTTTAGATGGTTTTGCTTAATAAGATATTGAATAAATTGCCGTCAAATGCCAAAGACGTACTCTAACAGATCTTTAATAGTTGATTGTTGAAACAAGAATATTGCGATACTTTAAAAAATATTATTACTTTTATCATTACCTGTCAAAGATTTGTTTTGCATGTTTAACCTTTAAGAACACAACCATTATATTTAATTATTTTAAATTTGTCATCCATCAAACCATGCAGATCTGCAGTTTTTTTCTATTTAGTGTTCATCCGTTTATACACTGTAAGTTACATTTTCTTCTAATGTCTTTTCTTCTCTTTCGATCTCTTAGCGTATTTTCTGTTATTCTTCTTTGTACTATTATCAATGTCGTTTCCATTGGCCTTCATGTTGTGGGTGTGTCGGGTCTTGTTTCGGATGCATATGTCGTTATTGGGCTTACACTGGCTTTATTAATTCTACAACCATTCACCCCGCACAACATTACCATTTTTTGGTAAATAGTAACATTTATGCATACCATAAGGAATAAATCAATACTCCAATAAAAATAATCATACTAATTAATAAACAACACGGTGTGATCTAAACAACGCACGTTCTATCCAATTCGCAAATCACGGCAAGGCTTCAACTAATTTGACAACTACGACTATTAGTTTGATTTCTTTGACTGAATTTTACGAGAGTCCAATACGCGCTGTTGCCAGAGTAATATAACACTCTGTTGTCTTTCATATATATTCCTGATCATCTACTTTTATTCGTTTCATTGCTTTTAATACGCTGTTAGTTTTTTGTCACAAATGAGCTTCTGATATTCTAACTTTTTTGGTGCACTTCTTCATTAATCGCTTGGAGTTACTTCAAATGTTGATATCATAGTGACTTTCTCTAAGAATTATAAATATGTCACATAGAGTGATTTCCCTTTGTATGCTATACCCTTACTCTATTGACAGGTTGTTTATTTGATTCATTTGTCTTCAGCATCGATATCTAATTTCTCCATTACAGAATAAAATAAGCTCTATCACTCACCAGCCCTGCCTAAGATTATTATCATATATACTTTTTCATCTTGTTTATTAAAATGGTTTCTTTTTTTTTTAAGTGCTGTCTCCCAATGGTATATCATCATCACTATCTTTACTCTCTCTACTGCTGCTCTGAAGAGTTCTATAGAACTGCATTTAAACCAGTCCCTTAAATTCTTCAACCATGACACTCACCTACTTCCTATACTCCTTCCTCCTCTTATCTTTCCCTGTAATATTAGCCTTAGTAGTTCATATCGCTGTGCCCTCATTACTTGTCCCAGATATTGTAACTTTCTTTTTTTTATTGTGTTTATTATGTTATTTTCTGTGTCCATGCTATTCTAAGCATTCTTCTCTAAGACCACATTTTAAAGGACTGTAACTTATTTATGTGTTCTTACTTCAATGTCCAGCTTGTAAGTCCATATTTCAGAATCGAAAACACGTAGCATTTCCCAAATGTACGATTGTTGATATATTTGTTTTCTTTTTTATTATTATGTATTTTGTCTTTTTTGTATTTATTTTTAGTCTATATTTTTCAGAGAAACTGTTTGTTTTGTTCCGGTATCAGTAACTGGAGTTGTTTCAGCAGAGCTTGCCATAATCACGGTGTTATCTGCATATATTGTGTTGTTAATAGATCTTTCGTTAATTATTATTCCTTCACTTTGAGGTAGTAATGCTTCTTAAAAAATGGCTTCACTATATACATTAAATAGTAATAGTGACATAATACATCTCTGCCTAACTCCTTTCCTGATTTCAATTTCTGGACTGTGTTCGTTATCTATTACGATTTGTGCTCTTTGATTTCAGTAGAGGTTTGTTATTATTCGTAAGTCCCTATGGTCTTCCGTTTTTTGTCTTTAGAATTTTTTGTCTATTTTTTGTCAATTATTTTTCTTCTTTTTTATTTTTGTGTCTATTACTTCATGGACAGTTAATATCTAACACTAATATTTCAGTTTTTCTCTATTCAGAGTACGGTTTCCGTAGAGATCAAGGTACCATTATTACTCTTATATATTTACTTACGGATATTCAAATCTGTTTCCCAAAAAAAACGAATTTATGCTACGTTTGCTTCTAGATTTAAAGGGTGCATATGACGTGTTTGATTTGGATAAATTATATTCAACAATGATGGCGTATCGGAAAAGATTATCTGTAAATATAATAAATTTGTATGTGAACGGAAAAATATTCGTAGGGGAACATATAATATACATATTACATGGTCCAAGAATATTATATAATGGTCTCCTACAAGGCTCAATTCTTAGCCCTTTATTATTTAAATCTTCATATGGATGACAAAATGCAAAATAATTTAATATGCAGACCATAGGTGTTTATATACCAGCCATAAATTTTATGTAGATTGTATGTTGAATGTAAAACTTAGCTTTAGTAACATAGATCAGTGGGGAAAACAAATGTATTGGATAAGATAAAACATTCATCTTAGTTGTTATTTTTCTTCTTTTTTTTATACTTTCGTATATATTACTTGATCGACAGCCAATTTCCAAATCTAAAACATAATAAATTTAGTTTCCCCCAATTAAATCGAAGTGAAATTTACCAGAATGTCATTTTGACATTCAACATTAGGTTGTCAAATTTTATAGTTATACTGAAAGATTTTGTTTTGGCAACTTTTAAATAAATTTTTAGTAATATGAGTCGAAATAAAAAATGTCCTGATAAAACGAATTTATTAGTTTACACAAAACCGCAGGGAGATGAAGGAGACAAAGCTGGTAAACTTAAAAAGTGCAGAAAATCTGCCACGTACGAAGCGAGTAAGTACATTATTTCTATTAAAGTACATTAATAAAATATCTATTATAATATTATTGTAAAAGAGGTTAGCTACTAATTTTGTAATAATTAAAATGATTTAAATTGGTGATGCACTAATTTATGTTATCAATAAAATTAATGAGAAGAATTTTTTTGGTACTCCGTTGTCTTTTAATACTCTGAACATTTCTCGTCTACTTAAGAGTCGTGGGCTACCTTATAATCTATAAATATAAGGTGAGTACCTATGCCATACTCCAGTGTTTTATCTAAAATTTGTCTCAATGTTGCAATTTGATAAGGTTTAGATTTATTACCTTCAGATTTTTGTATTATTCGGTGGAATAGTATAGTGAATAATATTCTATACGTTGTAATTTAAGTTAAATATTGTATTTATATGGAATTAAACTACAATTGACTGTAATAAAAATTGCATTTCGATATCTTAATTCGCAAACAGGCCAACTCCATTTGAAAAAAATTTTCAAGAGAATATTCATATAAAAATTATTCAATTTTTTATATGAATAACTTTTACTAAATTTTATTATCGATGTAAAGTCGTTTTCGGTTTAAGTATAAGTAAAAATCTGATTACTTAATGTTTTTTGATCACTTTTAAACATAGTTTTGCTTTATTTTTTTTTGCTTATTTATATCTTTTCTTCACTTTCCATAAATTTTTAATTTTCCGCACTATTCTTTACCCATTTCCCTATTCTTTCTATTCCTGTGACTAACTTCTTGGTTTTTCTTTACTTGGCACTGTTACTTTTTTTGATAATAGTTTCATCATTTGTTATCATCATGCTATCATGGTATCATCATGCTATCCAAATTATAGGAATCTTGCGACAATAAAGACTCTGTTGTAGTGTTAGGAAAATCTTGCTCCTGTTAATTTTGAGTATTCATTAGCAATATTTTTTGAATGTGTATTTATAACTTAAAAAAAACCAAAAAAAAGTGACCAGCACACCATAAATTCAATAATAACTACAAGAATGATCAAATTAAGACAATAAAGTTCTGCAGCCCTTTTGGATATCTAGCAGACTTTTGATGTCTGGCACACTGGCCTGCCATACAAAATAAGACAAGGCCTTCGTCTCAACTACTTTTTACTTCTCAAGTCCTATCTTTCCGACCGGCATTTCCTTGTAAAAGTAAGGGATCAGTGCACTAACTTACATCCAAATAAAGCTGGAGTACCCCAAGGTAGTGTCCTTGGACCTGTTCTCTACCTACTTTACACATCAGATCTTCCTACAAGTTAAAACATCGTCACAGCCGCATACGCAGATGATACAGCAATCCTTGCTCTGTCGCAACTGCGCAACTGCTCCAGAACAATCTCGACAAAATAAAGATTTGGTTACACACATGGCGAAATAAAGTTAACGAAAGTAAGTCAGTACATATAACGTTCACTAATCGAGAAGGTACATGCCCAACCGGCTCATTAAATAACCAAATACTACAACAAAAGGATGACGTAAAATACTTAGGTATGCACCTGGACCGCAGATTAACGTGGAAGAAACACATATACACTAAAAGAAAACAGTTGGGTCTGAAACTCAGTAAAATGTACTGGCTAATAGGAAATAGATCACAACTGAATTTGTACAATAAAATCCTAGTATATAAGTCAGTTATAAAACCAATATAGGATTCAACTGTGGGGACCTGCGTCAAGATCTAATACCGACATACTGGAGAGATTCTAATCGAAGACCTTCCGCATTATCACAAATATACCGTGGTACATGCCCAATGAATTCATTAATCGCGATTTTCAGATGAAAACTGTCAAAGAAGAAATTGGCGGTTACATACAAAAATATGACAGACGACTGCAAAACCACCCCAACAGACTATCGAAGAACCTTATGAGGGCCTAGGAAAACAGAAGGCTAAAGCGTCTACTACAAGCGATCTACCAACAAGATTTTAAATTTTTAAATTTAAATTTTTTTTTATTTATTATAAACATTATATTAGAGTCACAAATAATTTTGATACTAAAATTATGATTTATTAGGTTATTGTCACTGGACAGTCTCCTGCAAGCCTCTTGTAGTCTAATTAAACAATTTACTAATTGTAATCCTTTTACAGATTGTACATAAAGGGGATGTTCAAAATAAAATCGGCTCGTTTTGCTTAAATCGTCTTTTCGGCAGTGATTTCAAGTAGAGGACATTTCTTAAGTTTTTACATACACAAAATACACAAACTTACAATACACAAATTAACAACAATTTTAATTATTTCGTATGATAAATGGAACATAAACATAAACTTTACCATATTATCTTTAAAGGTAAATGTTTTCTCTGTTTATTTTTTTATCTGTCGAATAATACATACTGTATTGAAAACTGGTAAAGCGTCACTTGTTGAAATGTAAACAGAAAAGCGGCAAGATAAACACGTAAAAATATCATCTGAATATGGATTTGAATAGGTAGGTGCTCAACGACAAATACAGATCTGCTATAAAAATATTTTAATGACCAAAGATTGGTCGTTAGCCAGTGTTTTATGTGTCGGACACGGTCAGTGTATTTCATACATAAATAAGAGTAGTTATTTTATAGAGCACGATGTAAATGACGTATATAACCATATATAGGGATTATACCAATAAAATATATCGAGTTTTGCACATAGAGCACATATGATTTATTTTTTTATATTAAATTCTTTTTTAAATAAAATCCGAATTACAAAAATGTTCATATGATGAGATACCTATCATGTTTTAACAATGCTGTATGTAGCAGATTTCCGGCTATGTAGAAACTTGCTTGACGTTATCAATTTGAAGTAGGTAAAGCCCAAAAAGATTCAAATATATGTTAGTATCACTCTGCTATTTTAAACGCGTTCAAAAGTGTAATATATTCAATTTTTATTAATTATTTATATATAGGGTAGTTGGTATATATAGGGTAGTTGGGGGTAAAAACACGCACGGGGCAAAGAACGTACCTCAATTAATTTTCCTATAATGTCCGGTTTGAACCGATTTTAGTTACAAACCTTTGGCAACAGTGTGCCATATGTGTTGTTCGAAGTTTAAAGCTGATTCAAGGCGTTGTTTACAAACTCTGAGGTAAATACTATTTTTTTGTAATATTACACTGTAATATTGGCATAACAAAATTAATTTGTGATAAAATCAAATTGGCATTTTTTGTTGAATTAGTTTATTCAGGCGTTTTCTTGGTTTTATTGTGGGTTAAGAGTTTTCGATTTAAGTTAGGTCCTTAAAATCTCAACAGATGGTTTTGACAGTGTTGCCGAATGTGGCAAAAATAGGGGAACGACGGGTAATTACGAACATTTAAGGAAAATAATTGTTTATTTGAAATATAAATACGTTGAAAACTCGGAAACCACTACAGAGTGGCTAACAGTAATACAGCCATTAATTTTTGTTATTGGATAATCAAAAATAAAAATTTTAATAATAAAAAAACTCAATTAAAAATTTTCACGAAATGTTCGCTGTTGCCCGAAATGTCGGGTAATAATACACATGAGAAGGTTAATGGACAACAGTATTACCTATTAACAAAAATCACATTTATAGCTGTCCGGTGTGTCCGAGCCGCTGCATAATTTATGCACCCATCCACCACATATAATTCAACGGAACCAAAGTTCACTTTTCCCGAACTCACCACAAATTAAACAAGATTCTCATTCATTACAATCGTCCGTATTAATATCGTCATTGTCATCAGATTCATCATCTTTATATGATGTCCAATCTTCCTCTTCGCTTGAAGATTGTAGTACTTTTCTCTTTGCAGTTTTATTTTTATTTTTTAAAAATTTTTGTGTTTCAATTTCTTTTTCCATTTTTTGTTTCTTTCTAAGCTCCTTTTGTTCGAGTTCTAATTTCAAAGGCGTTGAGGTTAATATTTCGGGTCTTTGTTTTTTTCTTCCTGCCTTCTTCGGAACAGATATCTTTTGTTTTTCTTTCGCTAAAGGCAAGATATCGCTGAATGAAACATTTTCGGTATTTTCACATATCTGGCTTTTTTTGGAAGGGCCTGGTTGGGGTTCCAGTAAATCTTCTTGAATAGTTTGTGAAAGACCTTCTTGGTCTCTATTACCCTATTACTTTGTTGAGTTTGATTATCGTTCGAACTGGAGAAGTCTTCTTCATTAAATGTATTTCGGTTGAATGGAAAAAATCCGGTCTTCTCAAAACCGTTTGCAGCTTTGTCTATGCTTGCAACTCTAATATACCCCTTTAAGAATAAAGTGCTTATATGGCACATTTCAATTTTCTCATAGGGTTGAGATTTTAAAAACGAATCACATTCAACGTCATATGCTCGCTTCAACGATGAGAAAAAGCTAACGTCTAGTGGTTCCAGGCGATGCGAGGTATGTGGACGTATTGACAGCATAATGATATCATTTTCTTTGCAAAAATTATAAATTGCAATAGAGCAATAACTGGAGTGATTGTCCAGCACCAGTAAAATCGGATCATCTCTTATAGGTTTATTGGTTTTCGCAAAATGTTGAATCCAAAACAGGAACACTTCTTCGTTCATCCAACCGCTTTTTGAACAGGAGTACAAAGAACCTGGAGGCCCATCCTTTTCTTAAGCAGGATTTCTTCTCAGTATTGGATAAATGAATAGTGGAGGTGTAAAAGATCCGCTGGCACTCATACAGCAGCATACCGTCACGTTCTTGCCTCTTTCTCCACTTGTAACGGCTCCAACTTGTTTTTGGCCTCTAGGTCCAATGATCCGATTAGGCCTATTTACGTTTGTAATGCCAGTCTCATCGACATGAAATATTCGAGTAGGTGGAAACTTGTATTCATCGTACAGCTTACCCAAATTGTCATAAAACCTTGAGACTTGATCCTTATTGAAACCTTGAATGCGATTAAGACTTGTTGCTTCAGGTTTACGGAAACTTAAATCAGGATGCCTTGACGTCAATCCATATAACCAATCTTTACCTGCTTCTTGTTTTTCTCTGTTAAAACTATGTTTTAAGTTTAATTTCTCTGCATAGGCGAAGGCCTCTTTTCGCAACTGAATTGGGGTTAATCCATAAAATATTTTAGATAACGTTAGTAAATGACAACTCATTTCTTCTTCCTGTTCATTTGAAAAGAGAGTGTTTGCACCCAGCCTGCCTTTGTAAAAGCCTCTAGAGACTCTGTTTGGTAATGTTGTAACAGTTATATTAAATTGGCGTGCAGCTTTCCTTAGGCCATAACGTCTTTCTTCAATTGCCTTTAGATCAGCTTTCATTTGATCATCAGTCCATGAAGATTTGTTGGTACGTTTAAAAGGCATCTGAAAAAGATACAACTTGTTAAATAAGCAAAAGAAAAGCAAAAATGTAAAGAATCTAAGCCAAATTATTTAAAGAGTAAACGAGAACACTTGGCGGGTAATCGCGAACATCTGTTCGTGATTACCCATGAAGAAAGGAAACCATCGTAATATAAATGCATTTAACTTCTTCGTAATAGGACAATTTTATAGGTTAAATAAAAGTTAACTAACTCTAACAATTTAAATGAAACCATCAAGTGTTTAGGTACATACCTTATTTTCTGAATTGCTAAAATTGTAGTGCAAGCACCAAAAACAAATAAATCGCTGTAAAAAATTCCACAAATACGGGGCAACTGTGTATCTATGCCACCACGTGCAGACTAGTAGGAAGCACGAAATGAAGTTTACAACGGAATGATACAGATGACGTACGCATGTATTATGTGATGTTCGCAATCACCCGCTGTTCCCTATTACCCGTCGTTCCCCTACGCGAGAGGTATGGGGCAAAACTATGAATGCGTGTTTTTCCCCATTATCATAAATTAATTGTGTTCCTTCTAATTTCGCAATTAAATAATTAATTCATCTAAATCTTGGTTTCTGTTTTCCAGAAACTGCAAAAAAAAATCAGAAGGTTAGCCTTTGACAGAAGTTATTTTTTAAGAACTCGTGAACTTATTAATAATAGCGTTTCTATACGTCAGACAGCAAACGCTGTGGAATTTCATGAAGCGACAGTACGGCAAAGGTTGAAAAAAGGAAATGGTGTCCAGTCTTTAGGTAGATTTAAAGCAGTTTTAACCCAGATCCAAGAAAATGAAATAGTTCAGCATTGCAAAGAACTCGGCAAACCATTTTATGGAATGACGCTGAAGTCATGGCCTTTTTTTATTTACTCTTAAACTGCGTTTTTTAATTTTCACCTATAAATCAGTTAGCTGGCCGGGACTTTCATAAAAAGACACTAGATCTTTTCTTAAAAAGGAATCCGCTGTATTTACGAGTTTCACGAAAAACAAGTATCGCTATAACGATGGGCTTCAACAGAATGATAGAGTGCAACTAGCTCAGTATTTTGAAATTTTGGAGAACACTCTATAACGTCGATGAAACGGGTACTCAGACAGTTCCAAACGATCTGCCCAAACATGTGTAGCTGTAGCTGCCGAGCAAGAACAAACAATTACGGCTGTTTGCTGTATGAGTGCAACTGGTAACCATGTCCCTCTATTATTCTTATGTACTCAAAAACGGATTAATCTTCTTCTAATTAAAGACAACCCACTGCTTGTGATATATTACCGGGCTGTTACTGATAGTGGTTACATGAACACTTTACGTTATCAAGTCCCACAGAGGAGAACCCCGTTCTTCTGATTCTAGATAAACTTTTATCGCATACAGGTCTTCAAGTAGTAACATTTGCAAAAGATAATTTTATCAATTTATTAAGACACTCAATCAGGCAGTTTTTAAACCATTTAAAGCCTATTATAAGAGCGTAACTGACAGCTGGACCAGTTCCCATCCAGGGCAGGTTTCTCTCCATTTACCATGTGCCTGGTCTCTTTCTCACAGCATTTGCTACCACTGCAGCTATAAATATAGCAAGAGAGGGCTTTCGGTCTACAGGAATCTACCCACCAGATAAACATATTATTTCGGACGTAGATTTTATGCGAGCGGAAGTAACAGAGGAAGATTTAGGTGGAGATTCAGACGATGAAGGTCATGATTTTATCCAGTTTTATCAAGACGAAGAAGAACTTGCTACTGATGTGATAGAGTCCCAGCAGTTATCAAAATCAGAGCAGTCAGTAATTTTACCTTTAGATATTATTCTCTTCCGAAAAATTGGATAAAAAAGAAACTAACGAGGAAAAGTCTAAATTTAACTCTACCAACATCGAAACCTAATAAGGAGGGACTTTTAGAAGATCAAGAAGAAAAGAAGAAAGCAGAAAAAGAGCAGAAAAGAAAGCATTACTGCAGAACTTAAAGATCAAATTTTCATTCTATTTTCAAAAAAAGTGCTTAAGTTGGTGTTGCCAAAAGGAAAATTTTCGACGAATCATCATCTAATGAATCAGCAGTACTCTCCTATCAAGAAAGTATTGATTCTTGTGATATTCGTTTTTCCGATAACGATAAAAAGCAAGACATTAATGTTGTACCAAATATTTTACCTGATGACTTTGTCGTAGTGAAGGTTTTTGGAAAAAAAAATCATACATTCTGTTTGTCTCCAAAGCCTGCCAAGTAAAGGATGATGGTTATGAAGGCGCATTTTTTAAGCGACTGCCCACATTTCGTTTTTGTAAGACAACTAAAGATGCCTTTTTTTGAAAAGGCGATATTATTTTGAAGTTTCCAAAGCCAATACAAATCAGTTTTTTCAGATTTTAAAATTCAGTAGGATTCTCTGACGACCTCGCCTAATACTCTTTTAGATTAATGTTTGTATTTTACGTTTCTTTTTTTTTAATAAAGGTTGGTTTCTTTTAAACGCCTATTATCTCTTTTATGTGGAGTTTTGTACATTTTTGTTTTGGGGCAAAAATACACACTTGCATACTACTGCCCCATTTGTAGGGGCAAGGTACGCAAATAAAGATTTCTCGTTAACGATACACGTTGAAAAAGGGGCACCCTTTAATAAAACCTTAGTTTTTCGACTAATTTAGATAATTTTCTTTAGGATTAACAAAAAAACATAGCAATAAGTTAACACAAACGAAAGTTGTTGTCGTGACAAAAGTTGGGCCTCTCGTCAAAATGCAGCTCCTAACGAAAAATTAGCTTGTTCGGAATAAATGGTGAAAATCAGCCTGGGATCCTGAATTATGTAGATGTATATATTTTGTTAAAATGCAGTTTTAAACAAACTTGTTATAATTGTAAATTACAAACACAAATGTGCTGACTTTTTATTTATAAAGCTAATGTTATGTATGTTATTATTTACAAATATAGTAAATATTTACCAAGCCACTTTTTTTAAATAACGTATTATTTTGCATTTTAGCTATATCCAGGGTACCTCCAAAAATTATTAAAATATGTACAGGCGCTGAAATGAAAAAAATGTGCCCACCTCCATGCGACTGTCCAAAAATCATAAAAGCAGCTAACAAAAACGGTGGGCTTTTGGGTTTCCTTCTATTCGGTTTAAAAGTAGCAATTGCAGCTGGAGTTATATACGTTACTTACGACTTGGGAATTTGGGGAAGTACTGAAGATACACAAAATTTATATAGAAAGTATTGTGCAGCAAAAGGTTTACCTCACAAAAAAAATGATAAATGGGAAACGCCGTCATGTGAGGCTCAAAAAGGTTTGTTCGAGGTAAGATTTCAAAATGTTTCTTTAGTATTATTATATCAAAATTAGTACTTTAAATCTTCGAAAACATTAGTCTAAAATTAACTATTTAATAAAATAGGGTTCAGATCAGTTGCAGATATACTTTTTTTATCAGTAGAACCTTCTAATTTAATCCCGCTCTCAGGAAATTTGTTTGGTTCAGATGCTACCAACTGGTCTTCACTTTTGTGTTTGATGTGAACATCATCTGCTTGTTTAATGTATGCTTTTTTAACCATGAATTTATGGGCAGAATTTACTACGTAATAAACCTTCTGATATAAAGTCAGATATTCGAGAATATTACTACTAGGAAACTGTTCTGTGTTTGAAACGAAATCTACCATTTTTGGAATTCTTGCTAGAAGGAGATTGAGAATCTCCTTCTAGCAAGAATTTAGGATTTTCATAGTTATTCATGTCACTTGGTTCTCTTATATTCCATCTTCTTGTTTATTTTTTATTCTAAATATCTAAGGAAAACTTTGGCTTCACTGTTCATCAAACTCTTTAGTTTGAAACATCTCGGGTTTTCCCAATACAATTTTACTGTAGTTCTCATTATTGTGTGAAAAAAGATACAGACCTGTCGCTTTACATTTTGATATCCTATATTTAAGGTGATTTTTGGATCATTAAGTGCTTAATTTTTTTGGTTATTTCTCATTGAAATATTTGATTTGGAATTTGACAACTGAGAATCTAGTTCTGCTTCTACTCGGTATATACAGATTTCGGAATACCATTTTTTTGTTTTTTCTATAAGCTAAATTTTAGGCTACAAATACATTTTTTTTATTTACTTTGTGGGATAACTTTCTCAAAATGTGATTTTTATTTTGAAAAATGAACATTTTCACTCACAAATAAGTCAAAAAGTATTTACTTGTGAAGGTGAAGAACTCTATGAAACAAAAGTTGCTTAGAATTTTTCAATTTATCTATTTTCGGAGTTATTTTGAACCTGTTTATTACAGTATTTATCTAATACGTTTATTTTAATTTACCTATTTTAGGCCAAAGTGTTGCACCCATATGCACATTGCGACAATCCCCCTTTTGATTCATCACGATCATACTACAACTTCCAAAACAAGTGGAATAATGGAGTACAAACTGTATTTGGAGCAATAGCTGGTTTTCCTTATAATATTATTGATTGGTCCCGTAGAAAAGAGATTGTAGAGGATCAGCCCAAATGCATTCCTTACAGTGATCTACCAGAATCGCAAAGGGTCGTAACTTCGTATAAATAAATAAATTAGTTGGCGTACATATTGACACATTATTTTGTAAATATACTAAACATTAATTAATTTGTACATTATTAATAAAACTAGGCAGTTTTGTTTTTTAACAGTACACAGTTACCAATAACATCTGATTGATAATATTAAACCGTTATCATCGGTAATCTATCACTTTTTTATTGATATAAAAAATAAGAGAGCATGGCCTTAAACTTTTCGACCTGGCATCAGGTGAAATATAGTAGTTTCCCAGTATGGGTAAAATCAACAGTTGCTGATTAATCCACTTCCCCGTCACAATTAGTAATTATGGTGGTGTTGCGTTCTGCACATACGATAACCTCAATATCACACTTGGGATCATCCTGAAGGGAGAGAATGTATTATGTTCAATCTGGAACTAGCTGGTTTCCCCCTTTCGGATTAAGTATATATATTCAAATAAAGAAAAGAAATCAAAGCCAGAGGACTGTATAAACTTTATTTAAAAGGCAATGAAATTAAAACATAAATATACATAACCAAATGTACAATTATTACAACTAAAGAAGAATATATATATATATATATATATATATATATATATATATATATAATATATATATATATATATATATATATATATAGCGAGTGTTTGCAACTTTAATTTTGTCGCTTCTCGCATCCCAATCGCCATAATTTCTTATCGGCCCAGTCTCCTTCTTGAAGACTTCTATTTTCCATTTCTATATGAATATTGGATATCCATTTCTTTCTTGGCCTTCCCCTTTTATTTCTATGTGTAGGTCTCCAGTTCCAAACCTTTCGTGGTATCCTTTCTTCGTTCATCCGTCTCAGGTGTCCATACCATTTTAATTGTTTTTCGGCTATCGTATCCATTATTGTGTTCTTTACTTTCATTCTCTCTCTTATGTTTTCATTTCTTATGTGGTCAAACAAAGTTAACCCGGAACATCTTCTCCAGTACATCATTTCCGTTGAGAGGAGTTTTTGTGACATATTATTGTTAAAGACCCACACTTCTGACCCATACGTCAGCACCGGCTGAAGCATAGCCTGATATATATTTTTCTTTGTTTTCTTAGTTAAAGTTTTATTCCACAGGATCGGATGTAGTGTTTTTATCATGTTTCTTTCCTTTTCCTATTTTTCTTGTTATATCTTTGTCGTCTCTCCCGTCTTCGCTTAGTGTAACTCCGAGATATTCGTACTGATCAACGTTTTTAATTAATCCGCTTTCTGTTTCCATGTCTTGACCGATGCCTCCTATATTCATGCATTGTGTCTTTTCGGTATTAACCTCTAATCCCCATTTTTTGAATTCGTCTATTAGTTTGTTTATCATGTACGTCATATCTTGTAGGTCCTCGGCAAGAACTACCTGGTCGTCTGCGAAGAGGATTGTGTATATAGGAGTGTCATTTACCCATATGCCCATTGGGCTGCATTTTCTCATCCAATGTTTTAAAGCATTACCAAGATATATTTTAAATAGGGTTGGGGAGAGGAAAGAGCCCTGTTTGACACCCTTTGTTTGGGTGAAACCCTTGGAAATTTGGTTTCCAACCTTAATATAAGCTTGGTTATCTTGATATAGCTTTTTCACGGCATTTATATATACTGCATTTATACCAGCGTTTTCCAATGTTGTCCATAGTCTCTGCAGTGGTACTGAGTCAAACGCTTTACGGAGATCTATAAAAGTGGCATGAAGTTCTAGTCCTCTTGCTAATCTCTTTTCAGTTAGGTATTTGAGAGTAAATACATTGTCGACACAAGATCTCTCTGGTCGGAATCCACTTTGTTCTTCGATCTCTGTGGCTTCTTTTTCTATTCTCGCTTTCAGAACTCTTTCATACAGTTTGCCAGTGGATAACGTAGTGCTGATACCTCGGTAATTACTGCAGTCATTCCTGTTTCCCTTTTTGTAGATGGAGTTTATGTACGAGACTTTCCAATCTCTTGGGATACTTTCTCCTTGTAGGCACTTGTTAAACATTTTACAAAGCAATTCTAATGTTATTGCAGTAGCATGTTTGAATAACTCGATAGGTAAATCACCCGGCTCAGGAGCTTTATTATTTTTCATTTTTTGTAATGCGTTTTTTATTTCTTCTACGGTAATCATCTCCACTTCATTTAACCCCGTTTCAACTCTATCTATCTGTGTGTCCACTGTGTACGTTGTTCATTTAATAGATTTTCATAATAATTTTTCCATCTTTCTATGTCTATGGGGTTTATTTTTTTTTGTTTCGTTTGTATTTTTTCTAAGACTGTTGATAGTTTTCCAAGCTTGTCTGGACCTAGATCCTCCTACCATTGAGCTTATTTCTGCACACTTGTTGTCCCAGGTTATGTTTTTTGTTTTTTTTAATTTCCTTTTTTACTATTATATTTGTATCTGTTATAGTTCTTTCGGTCTTCCTCATCTTTTGTCGCTAACCATTTGAGATACAGTTTTTTCTTTTCTTCTATCAGTTCTATAAACCTTCTGTCCACCAATAATTTCTACGTTTTACTTTTTCTTTCGTACCTAGAGCTTCTAATGCTGCTTCATGAATTTTGATTTTCGAAGTCTTATACATTTCTTTCCGCTGTTCCGTTTATTTCTTCGTCTAATTTTTGTGCCAAACGTAGTTTATAAAGAATAATATATACAAACTTAAATATTAGTTATCCCCTCCGCCATGGTGGGACCTAGAATGTGATCTGATAATTAATAACAGAAAAGAAGCATTAGCAGTTTATAAACGTTCACCAAGCCTTGATAATTATCTAAAATGTCAGAAAATTACTGCTCATACTAAAAAGCAGCTGAAACAAAAAGCCAAAGCTAGTTAGCACAAGCTAACAAAATAAACCGAAAATCACATAGCAGTACAAAACCCTTCAATGATACTTTATTAGAAGACTTCTTTAATGGAGTATCTGCTCCATGGGTTCAACATTCGCCTACACAGCCTACACAAAGTCATCATTCAAATAATCACTTTCTATTAAAACCTTTTACTAAAACTGAATTAGACTTCGCCCTTAAAAACCACATTAATACTTCTCCTGGAATCGATCATATAAAATACCCCATGTTAACCTACCAACGGTTGCAAAAAACCATCTTCAATGATATCATCCAAAATAACATAGTTATCGAGTCCTTCAAAAATATCTTAGTCGTTCCTATCCTTAAACCCGGAAAGGATCCAAATATTGTGAGTTCATATAGATCAATATCCTTACTCTCATGCGTATTCAAAACCCTAGAAAGGTTTATAAAATTTAGATTAGATTGGTGGATACAAAAAGAGAATTTACTTCACAGCTTCACTACACAACAGCTGGTAACTCCACTGTTACCAACAGTAACACTGCTTTTTTCTTTTTTCTTAATTAACAATAGTCTAAGATGTCCATTCGCAAACAATTGCGCCAGTCATCTGGTTCGCCTCTCAGATTTTTTTAGTAACAGGACGTGGAAATACTGGTCACTCTCTTGACCATCTTGTATTTTCTCTCTTTATCCTCTTTTTCCTCAGTTGTAGTACTCGTAGTATCGTTATAGGTGAAAAAAATAAAAGAAAGCAGCCGTGTTTAACCCATAATAAAAAAAACACTAAACAAACTTTACACAGCTTAAGACTGAATTATAGTGTATTTTTATGTATGAGAGAGTAATAAAACAATAAATTATGTATGCAAATCCCTAAACTGTTGATACGGGTGACTCAATGAAAAACAGATATTTATCAACAAGTTTACAGAAGTATATAGGAAAACAATTTTAAATTGAGTATGACCACCAGGTATAAAGGTTGGAGCAGAATAGGATACAATAGTTGTGAGGGTTACTAATCCCTAAATAAGGTTGCCAGTGTCGGAGTGATGGAGGTTAACAGGTACTAATGAATTTGCAAGAAATGTAAGATGTTTATTTTATTGGTTATATATAACCAATAAAAGTTTAATAAGTACCTACCTATTTGTAAAATAAAGTTTAATTCTTTAGATAAAATAAAACGTTTTATTTTATCTGAAATGAGTGCATTCCACGAAGTAAGGGTTTCAACAATCAAACATTTAATTCTTTAATTCCAGGAATCTACGACAGTAATTGACTAGATAATTACCTTCTAAACTTATTCCACAGAAAATGTGATAGTGGGTTTTTCCATTTTGTAGGAAGGTCCAAGTGGCGTATTCAAAATTCTTAACAGTTTACTAAAAGTAGGTAGTTCAGGTGCAAGGTGCAGTTTATTGTGTATACTAGTGTTATGGAAAATTTGGAAGTGCCGTGTAAACGCCGAAAAATTGGTCCTTTAACAGTTAATGAAAAAACATTAATATTTAACTGTTTTAAATCATTTACAGACAAACGTTTATGTGAAAGTGTTGATGAGACCGTTGAGTTAGTTAGCTGTACACTTGTTGTTGGGAAATCTACGATTTACAGAGTTGTTAAAGAAGAGAAATGTGGTAGTTTTCAAATGCCACGTAATGCTCCAGAGAAACCAAAATTTCAAATAAAATATCATTTCACCAGAATATCTTATATATACCTTATCATAAGGATTACCCAGAAATGAGTCGAAGTACGTTATGGAAACTTTTAAAAGAAATAGGCTTTCGCTGGAAAAGGAATCCCAGAAAGTCTATTTTATTAGAAAAAGCGATTTTGTCATATGGAGAAGACATTTTCTAAGAACCATAAAGGAAATGAGAAACCAAAAAAGAAAAATATTTTATCTTGATGAAACATGGATCAACGAGGGTCATACACCAAATAAATTTTGGCAGGATGAAACTGTTACAAGTCAAAGGCACGCTTTTGTAAATAACTTATCTACTGGTTTAAACTTACCATCAGGAAAGGGATGCAGGCTGATAATAGTACACATTGGCAGTTCAGACGGTTTTGTTGAAGGTGGTTTATTAACTTTTGAATCAACTCGTACCGGTGACTACCATGAAGACATGAACGCTGATGTCTTTCAAGAATGGTTCGAACAAATGATAGATCTTCTTCCTAAGAACTGTGTAATAGTAATGGATAATGCAAGTTATCACTCCAGACTTATAGAAGGACTGCCCACAACCAAGTGGTTAAAAAAG